CCTCCTAAACATTCTACATTCTACCTTTTTAGTTTCACATAATTTTTAGAATTATCCTGCATTTGTAAAAGATAAAGGAGACTTTTTATAATCATGTATTAATATCACTTAAAATTAAACAAGAATGTTTTTTAACATTGAAAATGTTTCTGTTATCCTATATAAGGGAGCCCAAATCGAATTAAAATGCTACATTTGCCACACCATGACGTCATATACATATACAAGGGTATAGGAAATCTCTGCGCAGCGGCGGCAGTCGGCCAGCGCGCGCAAAAACCATTACATCGCTAATTGTTTATTGATATATCTTTATTAGTTTAAAAGCAAAAAATATGGGGTTTGCTTTGATACCTTGTCAAGACATAAGCGAAACTTTCAAATTGTTTCTTTTTTTCATTTAGACCTTCGTTTTTCGTTAAATGAAAGTTATATTAAAAAAAAATCTCTATTTTTAAACCAAATTTTCGCATGATTGAAATGATTATTCATGTTTAAAGTTTTTTTTTGGTCATAAGCGCTAATGGAAATGTTTTTTTGTAAATAATTATAAAAAATTACTCCCTACGAAGACTTTATTCTGTACTGGATCAAAAAATAAGTATTTGTTTTCTCTATACGGTGGTATTAATATATCGATTTTTGATGATAGTGCCTTTTTACCCTGTTTAATTTTGTACTACTTTCGGAATAAGGGTCCCCATATCATGTACTGTGATGTACTGTACTTCCATCCCTGAAAAATTCAGCTTGTGACACCGAAGTGAGAGGTAACGTCAAAATAAGCTTTAATCTACCTACATCATCATAGGTAGGTGTAGGTACTCTAGGTAAATTCTACCTAGACAGTAGCTGAACTAGCTGACAGTAGTAATTAATTTGTTATCCGATAAGTAGTTGTCATTATATAAGTTTAATCGTCTTATACCTCCTATAACGGTAGGTTTTGGATTTTTCCTGATTGGTTTGTTAAACAAAAATATACTGGGCATATAAATGTCTGTTACAGGTTAATTCGTTAAAGAAATATGTTACACACATATTATTTTAATAATAATAGTATAATAGTAATGGCTATATTATGTTATAACACATTATTGAATTAACAATTGAAAACAGTATTGAATGTACTTATTTTAACCAATGCATTGTTTTGTTTTTTTAATCTCACAAATAAGAAATATTTTATAGTTTTTATTATAAAAAACAGTGATTATACAATTTATTTACACCCCTTACACTGTTTTCTGTAAGGGGTGTAACCAGGAGTATATTTCGTAACCTTTTACGATATAAGAGGGCACAAAGTGTTTTATTACTTAATGCTTAAAATTTAATAATATATTTGTACATAAAATAAAATAGACTAGAAAGTCAATTAATTAATATTGACGTAATTACTAAATAAGTACAAGATTTTTTTTCTAATTATTTTAGTGTATTTTTAGTCACCGAATTATAAAGGAGAGATATCCAACCATTGCATTATTTTACTCACAAATAAATGTTTTATGGTTTTTATTATAAAACAACGATTAATTTATTATACACCCCTTAACCCAAACACTCCAAGGAGGATATTTCGTGACCCCGTATTTAAAGTGGACAAGGTTTATTAGTCAATGTTTTAATTACCCAGCGTCTTTAATAAAAATCTAATGTAATTTTTCATAGAAATGATCTGACATGAAAAGCAAATTTTATCAAAAAACTTTTTGATTATCTACAAGGAGTAAACCGCTGACAAATGTCTGTATACTAATGCCAAAGTAATGCCAAAAATACAAATTAAATACCAAATTTCTCATATAATGCCCCACTAATGCCAAGCTGATTCCAATATAATACCACTAATACCACGAATAATATGTAACACATTTGTTTCACGAATTAACCTGTAACAATACTGGTAGGTACGTGCACAGATTTTTTCCTAGGTAACTTAAAAGTCGTTAAAAAGTCTAATTATATTTAAAGAAGATATAATTCCAACAAATTACATTATAAGGCCAATAATGCACAAGTAATACCATTAAAATTTTAGCGTTTTTAACTTGTGTAACATATTTCTTTAACGAATTAACCTGTAACAATAGTGGTAGGTACGCGCACAGATTTTTTCGCTAGGTAACTTATTAAGTCGTTAAACAGGCCTATAAAAGCTATAACAACATAGGTAACTAATATTTATAATTTAATTCGAGTTTTAATCTCAAATAATAAATGTTTTTACTGGTGTATTTCTGAAGTGTTCATTATTAAAAGTAGATATTCTTCAAGTTATGCGAAGTAATAAGTAATGTTTCCGGTGAGACCGCGTATATGTCACCGGATTCTGGTTAGTATAAAGACTTTTTCTATAGAAAGAGTTTTTTCTATATTTTCCTTTCAAAATAAGACTAATTTCTTCTTATTCTTTTAAATATTACAGTGTTTCTTTTTCCTAAAATGTTATACTTAATTTTCGCTTAAAATTAAAAAATCACAAATGGAGGAAAATATACGTTATTGAATAAAGTTTATACAAATCACTTTACCATAACAAAAAAGTAAAAACATGTCATGGCGGAAGATATTCAGGTGGCATTTCACACATTTATCTATTAAAATCGAGATTAAAATAATAAACTTGCGTAACATGTTATACACGAGATAGAAAGTTTCAGAATCGATTAATACGCAATACGCTACGCAGTCAACTTATTCCTATGCGCGGATGAGCGTCTTCAAGACTCTTCCTTCGGCCAGGGTCACGACGCCGCCGAAGAGGAATCGGCCTACGTTTGGCTAAACAGGCTGGACACGGTGGAGTACGATATTGGCGAGTCTGAATATTTATAAAAATTTGCAAAGTAAAATATGTTGGAAAAATAATTAGTCCATACATATATAAAAGCTCAAAGGGTTTTTTTGTTGCATCCATCCCGCCGAAAGCGCTTTACCAATCTTGATGATTCTTTTTTTAAATGAAAGGTATATATGTGTAGATTTGTTATGAAGTATTTTTATAGTGCTTAATGGCTATTTCTTTGTGTAAAACGACTAAATACTAAAACATACCTGAAAACACCTACACACAATACCTCCAGAAATAAATTAGTTGTCATTGTCAGTGGTGTGTCAGTTAGATTATATATTACGTTTTTAGATATTTTAGAGTGAGTTGATGCCGCCAGCTTTAGATACATAAATATTAGCACAAAGGTTCGTTTAAACGACATTAGTGAATTAGCTACACAAAGCGATTTTAGGAAATTCATCCTCTTAGAGAGTAAAATTATCTCGGAACAGTTTGTTGTATGAAAATTCCTTACTATTTCGTCTAGAAGAATGAAATCCTACAAAAAGAATTAGAAGAAATTTTTGAAATTCATCAACCAAATGGGTAAAGTTAGTAAAAATTTATATAAAACTTGGTGACGTCTGGATTATACACATAAAAATTGGCACAAAGGTAAAGCGAATTTATGAAATTTATACCCTTAGGGAGTAAAATAGGGAATGAAAGTTTGCTGTACGAAAATGCAATACTATAACATTATAAACCAGACAGTATAAAATTTTATACAAGGGTTTATTTAGTGACATCATAAGGAAATATATCTTCCTCAATTATCCTTCAAAGAATAAAAAATAACCTATAAAGAGAGTATTAGTGCTCTTAATAAATAAAAAAAAGATGAAAAATAAAAAACATCTATATGTTCACTAGCTCTCTATAAAGAAGTAAAAAATCATTTAAATCAATGCATAAACGATTCGAGGTGTAACGCGAACGTAGTTGCGAGAAAAAGCTAGTAATTTATTAAATTATTTTATTTAACTCATTAATTTTCATTGAAAAGGAATTTTTGTAATTCGCCACTATATTAGTTAAAAACTAAGAAACTCATATCAAATTTAAGTTTTGCGATTTTGACTTATACTTTTTATAAAATCTGAACACATTTTAAAAGAAAAAAAGTTTTTGATAATATTTGTGTAGATTGACTACAAGTTGTATAACATAAATTTCTACGACCGGTCTACCTAGTAGTCTGCAGCATCGCCTTTGGTGCAAACGTGGGCCTGTTAATCTGTGACGTGACGCACAATAGCCAAGAAAAACAGAAGCGTGGCTAAGAATTTAGTAATTTAAAAAAAAGTCTTTTAGATACAGTAGTAGGTATTAAAAAAGTTTTGTGTTTAAATGGGGTTTGCCTTTAACAGTTAAAAAATTATATCGTATTATTAAAGTGTAACTTTCCGTAAGAATTCTTTATCTGTCATTGATCATGATCTGTCATCATGTTAACCTGATGTTTTTATATTATTTTGTTTTTTTCGAGGTTTTTGCTTGCTTGTTTTACGGATAGGTGCGATCGCATAATTATTATTGATAATGTTTTATTTAATGTTAACACTACTACTTTTCAGTGAATCTTTTAAATCTGTTGTTTTTTGTTAAGTTCGTTATTTAAACATATGTATGTAATACACTCATATTAACACTAATCATATTTTTACGTTTTATTCATCATTTTCAATGCCTCCCCGCTTGCATCTTTGTAAAGGACTGTGAATTTTTTTGCATTTTATAGAAATGATGGAGGTAAAAGTTAAAATAAAAATTCATAAATTGTTTTTCTATACTTGTTGGAAAATTAATATTCATTTAAATATTCTTGTTTTAACCTGAATATAAGACAACATCTCATTATTTTATTTATAATAAAAATATATTCTGACATATGACGAATGCATAGTGTTCTTTTTTAACTGATTATAAAAATAGAGCAAACATATAAAATTCTCAGTTGTTTATTCACTTCTGTTTATAGGTGAGATTGAATTCAAAATACCCGATCTTTGTTAATTTATTAATATTTATTCAAATACTTGATATTAATAGGATGTCAATAACAAATGTTTATATTCTAAAAAAATGAAAATATTGATGTAGTTTACTTGATCTATCGGATATTTATATACATAATAATATGATATAGGTATGTTCTTACCTTATTAGCTTCTTGCTGTTGTTGCTGTTGTATCAACAACTGTTCTCTGGCTAGTTGAAGTTGAAGTATCAGTTCTGATAAAGTTCGTTCTTTTTTCCATAGGATTGTCGCCAGGTATCGCCTGCTGAATAACAGCTGACTCAATATCCCTGAAAGGAAAGACAAAATTAAAGTTTTTTTGCATTCACAAAGCGTTTTTCGTTTTCCTAAAAGTTTACCTTTCTCATGACCTTTCATAGATCCGGCACCGCTTTTCATAACTGCAAATTAATTTGCAATATAAAAGTTTCGCTCATCAACTCAAACATAGGTACCTATGAGAGGACACTGCCAGAGAGCTACATGGAGGGTTCAGTCTCCCAGTTACTAGACTTTCTGAGAAGGATAGGACTGGAGAATCTAACCTAAGGATCAGAAGAGGACCGCAATAGATCTGCAAAGGTCGCAGTAGATCAGACCAATAGCCACCTCGAAGAATTTAATCTAATCTAACATTCAAGTATTATGGGATTCAAAGCATCATGACCTAATTAATGCAAAAACATTTCAATACCTCCGTATATACGTACATCTCAAAAAAAAACGCGGGCATCTAAAAAAAAGGATTTCAAAATTAAATTGAGGACATTTTTAAGTGAAAATGCGTTCTACTCGCAAGACGAGTATCTTTCTTTCAATTTCTCTAGCTAAGACATATTTTAATGTGTTTGTGCTTTGTGAATGTTAATGTGTAAATTTTAACTGTAGTGTTCTATTTGTATTATATATCTATGACATATTTATTTCATTTTACACTGTATCTTGCAATGCTTGATAACATTGACGATTGTAAATGTTAATGATAATTTAACATGAATAAAGAATTAAAATTAGAATTAGAATTCATATATTTAGACTCTTTTAAAGGCAAGAAAGAACACGTTCAGATGCCATCTCCATCCAAAGCTAAGAAGCGCCAAAGATACTCGGAAGTAAATTCTAGACTAGTGTGGGCTTGTAGGTGTATTCTAAATACATTGGGTGAGCATTGTAATGTTACGTTATCCTGAATACCGGTGTACGAGGGTCATAAGGGAAACAAAAAAGCAGTTAAAATGGTCAAACTCATCAATGCCATTTATAGGCCTAGAACTCATCTACGGCGCTGCAAAAGCTGTAATAAGAATTGCCACAAAACAATGGCTGGCTAACAAATCTCTACAATGGTGGAGAAGTTCACCAGTGCAGAGACGAAAGTTCAGAGTGCGAAAAAGTTCAGAGTAGAACATTCGCCAAAATTCACGGCAGACCTGGTAAGCAAAGACAGAAATACTACCAAAGCTGTAATGAGTCCTCAAACAGAGTAAGTTTTTGAGTAAGCCATTGACAAAAAACTATGGAGGGTTCAAGGGATAGGACTGAGAATGTAACCTAGAGATTAAAAGATGACCATGATATATATGAAAAGCCTGCAGTGCAGCAGACCCAATGGCCACCTCTAATCAAAAAAATCTATACTCTTTCAAATAAATCCTAATTTATAAAAAAAATACGTTAGATTTTTGCAATTTTACTTGGAATATATACCAAATACTAATCTGCTAACCTTTAACATTTATCCTTATTCGAAAACGGTAGCGTTTAAATTTATATTTAAGCGTTCGAAAGATAGGCCGATCTATAAATACAATGACTGATGAATGGACATTACTATACGTACATACATATACATATGTGTATATTTGAAACTACGCGGCGACGAGGCGGAGTATGATAATGGATATTTGCAAAAAAGTTATGTCACTTATCAATCGTAAAAGTTTACTGGATCACATTTTATGGTCAAGGCGAATTGATAGCGTTAAGTGAGCTTATATTAGTGAGATAACTCAGTGTAATTAGTGGACATTTTAATTTATGTGTGAATCTTAATCAATCCTTTTTACGTATAAGAAATGAGGAAAGAATAATGCATGAAGATTATAATATAACCAAACCAAACCAAACCAAAAACGGAAGAGTAAAATATCTAGAGAATACATGGAGGGTTCAGAAATATCATCAATTCCTTAATATTAGAGAAAGATGCAGAAGAGAAAAAGACATACAAATTCACTGTCATTCTTTTAAATCCTGTTTCTTAGAGAATTTAAAAGAATGGAAGAGAAAAAATGAATGAAGAAGAGAGTTGAAAATAACGATAGCAGATGAAAATATAAGACATTGGATGGAAAGCCGAGGGCTAGAACTAGCTCCTGAAAAGACCTGTGTTTGCAGAATGATTGGCAGAGCAAAACTAGTAAAGATTGTGGAGGCCAACATACTGGGAGTGCAAGTGCCAATTAAGGTTGAAATTAAATATCTGGGCTTCTGGCTAGACCTAAATGGCACCTTTGTCTACTAACACTCAGACAAAGCCAAAAAATGCAGCGGAGAGTGCAAGATCTAACTGGGCCCGTGCCGCGCGACGGTGGCGCCGGCGATAGGGAACTCAGGATGCTGGCAACTGGAGTTGCTGGAAATCTACACTGCGACTGCATGGACCGAAACCGCTCTAAATCTAGCAAAGAATGTTGATTAAATGTATCCTGCTTACATACAGGACAGTGTCCATAGAAGCACTATAAGTGCTTGCTGGGACAATGCCTCTAGATCCACAAGCTAAATACAGGAGTGAATCTTACGGACTGGAAAACCGTGCTATCAGGACAAAAAAAGAAAAATTTCTGGAGCTGAGGAATAGAAGATGGCAAAACAGCGATCAGGGCAACTGGATTCGGCGCTAGATACCCGACCTGATACCATGGTTACAAAGAGGGAGTTTAAAAAAATCCTGTTTTTAAACCTCATTATCTCAATGGAATTGCACTGAAAAACATCAGAAACTGCCTCAACTCAGCTAGTCAAACTGCGACTGAAAAAAACCTCAGAAACACCAGAACACTTTATCACTGAGTGCGCCGAAACGACAACCATTCATGCCATAAACTTTGGCGCAACTGATATCGGAGAGGAGAACTATCCTCTGTATAACCATCTCAGATACTGGCTTTCAATGGAGGTCATCCTAAACCTAACACCACTGCATATTGTCGTCGGTAGTTATGCCAATTCGACAATGATTAGAATGGTCATTGATGGAAACAGTACTGGGAAAATTTTCAGGTCAGGTACTTGGAACACCCTCAAAAAGAAAATTTCACTTCTCCAACTCCCAGTGGATGATATACAAAGAATTTACAATTTTGAGAAACACCTCACTGCAGTATTAAATATTAAAAAGGATTGGAAGGAAGAAACGTTTGCAAGTCAGTATGTAAAAGACCATACCATAACGTGGTATACTGATGCTTCCAAAACGAAAGCAGGGACAAGGATAGGAGTATTTGGGCCAAAAACTAAATACTTCGAATCAATGGGCACCTCCCCAAGCATCCTTCAGGCAGAAATCTATGCTATCGAAAGATGCGTACAATTTATCTTAGATAGCAACTACCGGGAACAGGAAATAGCCATAATATCCGATAGTCAAGCAGTAAACGCGATCAACTTAGTAACCATCAATTCGAAGTTGGTCAAAGAATGCCTAGAGAAGCTCAACAAATTAGGCAAAGAAAATAAAGTCATCCTACTTTGAGCGCCCGCTCACCAAGGGATAGAAGGCAATGAAAAGCAAATGATTTAGACAGAAAAGGAACCAACACTCCACTAACTGGACCAGAACCGTTCTGTTTTCCAAGCGGGAACCAACTGAAAGCGGAACTGAAGATCCTGGAAGACTCCATCCGTAACATGGAATGGGTGTCCTCCAATGGTCTAAGACAATCGAAAAATTTCCTCTGAATTTACGACCGAGAAAAATCAAAGGTTTTCCTTGATTTAAGTAAAAATAATCTTCGGATTGTCAAGGGGTTTCTAACAGGACACGTCTCCTTAACTAACACCTCAGTAGGCTGAAACTGAGAAACAACGGCGAATGCAGATTCTGTGGGGAAAATGGGGAAACACTAGAACACCTTATCACTGAGTGTGCCGAGACGACGGCCGTTCGTGCCATGAACTTTGGTACGGCTGATGTTGAGGATGGAGAACTGGTCTCCGTGGAGCCGTCTCAGATACCGGCTTTTGTTAAAGCCCTGTATGATGTGTTATAACTCGTTATAACTCAAGAAAGGAGAACACACAATAGATCTGTAAGGTCGCGGTGGTTAACTCCCCTCTTAAACATTCTATGCTCTATTATCTATTAAGATAAATCTTTCTTAGTTTTTAACTAAATATATTACACTGAAATAACTTAGTGGCACAATATAGTTTTATTCTAACATTTGATTTATAATAGCAGTAATTCGTGCAGAGATAAATCACATTATTCCAATAGGTACTTCTTCTGAACGATGATTTTGTGAAAGGTACTTCCAGATTCCGCGAATACCCATTTCGTAGCGATTCACTCTATCCACGTTTCAGTTCTCACGGAAAAGGACAGACAGATGCATTCGTTACCAAGAACCTTATAAAACGAACGCGTAGCAAAACATAAAATATACACCGTATATAGCTTCATAAAAATGAGATTTCAAGATTAAACTGCATCGTGACATTAAAAGTCGTCGGTGCTGCGGGAAAAAGAAGATGCATATTTAAATTATGCCACAATATTTGATTGCTTTGAGGAAATCTGCTTAGTAATAAAAATTACTTCGTGCCTTTATAGACCGTCCCCGCATCTCGCCGATTTTACATAATTCAAAATTTTATAGTCTAATAACGTCAAAAGTTTTCGCTGGAAATACTAATCATATGGGATATAATTTGGATTTTTATTATGAAGTTGATAGGCGACGTCTTGAGAGAACGGTTTGATTTTAAGCACTATTCACATAAATTGGATTTTGATCAAAGAAAATGTAATTCGGGCTTTTTTAAATTATACTCGATGCAACTTTGTTTTTTGTTTCTTCTTTAGGCTTTAACTTTTTAATCGATGTTCTATCCAATCTGTTTTTTGTTATAAGTCATAATTTTTTTAACTTCGTTTAATGTTTATGATGGAATGGATATCTTTCGATTACACTTAAATTCTAAACCTGTTATAATTGCATAATTTTTCAAAATGATGATGATAAAATGAATGGGTTTAAAAAACACGACATTTTTGGAAACATTCAAAAAAAGTCTTTGATCTTGGACTGGAAAACTAACCAGAAATTATAAACTCAATAAACACCTCCATACTATGCTATTGCCAGGATCTCGTGGATCAGAGTAGTCCATCCAGGTGAAAGCCGACTTACATTGGTAAATTAATACAAGTGACATCAAAAACTTTCTTAAAAAGTTAGGTTAGCGGATATCTTAGATGTTCAACATGCGTCTAGGAGGAAAATAATGTAGCTTTTTGGACTGCACTCCCTGCACCGAAAAAATATAATGACACAAGAAGAAGCGATGAAGATAAGTGTATTGTGTATTTCAACATCAAAAACTTTGTTTTCAGGATTATAAAGTAATAAAATTATACCATAGATAGTGATGGAAGAGACTAGTCTTGCTCTTGAGGTCTTGACGAAAGAACAAAATCAAGACTAGAGTTAGATCACTAAAAAAATGACCGACCAGTGCAAGATTTACGAGGGACGAAAAAATAACATGCCGTTTTGTGGTTTTGGAATAACGAAATTTTTATTTGTTAACCTCTCTCTCTCCCTTCTAAACTTTATAAATAAAAAAGAATAAAAAAGATTTCTTCGAAACTATTGCCAATGAATTATATAATATTTTATCGAAACATACGTAATATTGCTGTATATTAGTTAGAGCGCTCATGTTTTTAAACTATTCAAATAAATAAATATGTTATAAAAATTACTTATTGGGTTTGTGTTAAGGTTTTTTTTCTTATCTATACTAATATATAAAATCCTTAAGTGACTGACATACTGATTAATCACGATCCTGCTCAAACCACTCAACGTAAGAAGCTCAATTTTGGCATACAGGTTGATTCTAGGGTATAGAGGTTCGATAAGAAGGGATTTTTCGAAATTCCAGTTACAAGGGGGAGAAACCACCCTTCAAATATTAAAATATTTTTTATTTAAAAAACGGCCAAGTTCCCGAAAAAACGCTTAAACACGTATATTTTATTTTGTTTTTATACATATTTTAAAATTTTTTAAAAATGTATACAGGGTGTTTCAAAAAATCTGGCCATTGATTAATCACGATCCTGCTTAAAGCGCTTGACGTAAAAAGCTGATTTTTGGAAAACAGATTGACTTTAGGGTGTAGAGGTTCGATAAGAAGGGATTTTTGAAACTCGAATTCTAAGGGGGTGAAACTATCCCTCAAATATTAAAATATTTTTTATTTAAAAACCGGTGAGTTTTTCGGAAAAACTCTTAAACACATATATTTTATTTTGTTGTTTTACATATTTTAAGATTTTTTATAAATTTAACTTTTTTGACTGTTAAGAATCAAATGGTATCATCATATCTGAAACGTATCAGTCTTTGAAAAAGCTAGTTGCGAGAGCGCCGAAGGCAGGATTACTAAATCCCGCTTAAGATGGGCTGGTCACGTATGCAGGATGCAAGAAAATCTCTTTTTTACAGTGAGTTTGTCGACGGTTAGAGGAAACCGGGTGAACAACTCAAAAGTCAAAAGGTACAAGGATATTTTCCGTGAAATCTTGAAGGGGATAAGCAACAACAGAACAACAGAATCAATGGGAGGAAGCAGCGCACAATAGAACGCAATGAGGCAGAATTGTAAATTCAGTTAACAACGACAACCAAACAGTAAAGAGGCAACAAAGTAATGAAATTTTTGAATGTCCGAAGTGCAGAAGGGAGAAAACATCACGTATCGGGTTTTCAAGTCACAGTAAAGCTTCATTCAAAACTTCGTAATTAGTGGAATAAATTAGCGGTTTTAATTAGCATAGAAGTTTGTTCCACTAATGTCAATCTAAGCATTTAGAACGTCAAAATTAGTGGTAGTAATTTTCAATTAGTAGAAAAAGTTAACAAACTTTTAACTTTTCCACTAATTATGCTTCAAAATTTGCGAGGAATGTCATTTTGGCCTTTAATTGTCAACCGTCAAGAGAAATTGTAGTTAGAAATCAAAAGTTTAATGTTTTATAAGCTAGATATTAGGCTCTCTCTATGGATTCAACTGACTACCGCAAGCGGTTGCTAGGATATTCTATTAATTTTAATTGTGTTTTTAGACATTGTGAATAATCGTAAAATAAAAAGTATAAAGTTTAATTGAAACTACTAATTTATTCCACTTATTGCGAGGTTCTGAATGAAGCTAAAAGCTCATGAAAGAAAACGCTTTGCGTAATCTTCTGATGCGTGTCAAATACTCGTCAGCAAGTAATGACAGAAAGGAAGTAAGTAATCGTATAGTATATCTTGCCAAAATCAAATGATCGATGAATGGAATTATTGACTTTGTTAATGTCAAAATGTTAAATAAAACTAAATATGTTGAGCGATTACTTACGAATTATGTGAATTCGGCGTCGACGAAGGCGTCGGTCTTCGTTCCTCCTTCACCGAGTTCGTCGTGATCTTCGACGTCAACCGTTTCAGCACGTCATCCATCGACCTCCTCAACGGATGCAAGGAACTGTTGTTGTTCATTAAACTATTGTTATTGTTATTATAGTGAAAATTCGTTTTAACGTCCGAATTGGGCGAACTGCACTCCGACGAGTTCCGCCGCCGCTCCAGCTCCTCGTTGTGCAGAGACAGGGCGGATATGCACGGCGACACCGACGTCATCATCGAGTTGTTGCAATTGTTTTCACCCGCAACTCCAGATATCTTGGCCGTCTTCGATGGAATATGATCGTCGTCCAGTCCGTCGTCTATGTCGCTGCCACAACCGCTTGGCGATGACGATTCCGACAATTTGTAGAATGTATTCGAGGGGTTCACCATGGTATTGGTATCTTCTTCGCAAATGTCGCTCAGGTTGTTACTGCTGGTGTCGTCGAGATCGGTCAGACCCCCGCCGTCGCTGCCGCTGCCCATGTGCGTCTGGATAGGGGGGGCGTCGCTGGGGCTGCCGTCATGAAGTTTCGTTGGCGGAGACTTTCTCTTCGAAGACATATTTCTGGAAAGAAAGCGCGTAATTAGTTTAATAGGTCTCGGCGTAAAAGTAAACAAGCATCAATAACGATCCTAAATTGTCAATTAAAATTAGCGATTAAATAATTCATGAAATGTCATTTTCATTTTCAAAGGTATTCGTCTACCAACCTAAAGGGTATTAGTTCGAATCCTGTAGCCCGAACTCCATCAGCTGACTATTCTTAATAAAATACAAAGATTGTGTGTATGTGCGATATGTTTGAAAAACTTTATTTTGAAATGTTGAAAAAGTTAACACATTAAAAATTAATAAATAATTTGTTTCACTTTCACAAAATTTGTATCAAAATTACCGTCTGATGATTCCAATGATCCATGTGCCAAATTTGGTTCCAATCGACCCATAATTAAGAAATTTTTTTATGATTTCGCCTATTTGGGGGTATCGGTTCGAAACGTCGAGGGCGTCATCCTGTAGCCCGTCCCAAATTATGCTGAAATCGACCCACATCTTTCTTCAATATCAAAAATACATTCCGAGTTTCAGCCCCCTAGCTCAAATAGAGCCCGAGTTACGACGCTCCAAAGGCCTATCTCAACTTTCTCATTGACCACTTTTTCGATCGTTACCACTTTTCGTGACCCTAAGAAAGCCCGAGTGGTCCACAGTTAGAACTCCAAAATAACAAAAATTTACTTTAAAAAACAGATTTTTATTCAAGATGCAAACTCGTCACAAAAGTACAGACATTAATAACAATGTTATCTAAAAAATCTATACACCAAGGTTACTTTTTCAGATATCGGTGTTTAAAAGTAACCCACATTTGTGAAAACTTGAAACTTTAACTTTGATTTAAAGTTAATTGACACGGTCAAAGTATACTTGGATGAAATATAGTATTTCCGAAGAAAATTAGAAGTACTGAGACTTTTAATTTCCTTGCCCCAACGATGCCGACAAAAAAGAAAGAAGATTCCCAGTCTATTCCAACTGATTTCGGATAAACCCACTTTTAGACACTGTTTATTTTTAGAATTAACTACCCATATATACCAAAGTTTGCAGAACAAGAATTCTGTAAACTTTGTATATATTACGCTCAATAGACGAATTCGGGCAATGCCCGAGAAAAATACGCAAATCTAGTTTTGAGCAAGGAATATTTCCCAAACCCGAAAAATTAATTTTATTGGATTATTTTTTTTTGTTTAGTGTGATTTGATTGCATTGGTTTCACTCTTTTTAGTTTAGTTATTTGGCGAGTTGGTTAGCGTGGTTATTTGGAGGGTGTTAATTCATTGGTTAGTTGTTTTTTTGGGTTTGGGAAATATTCCTATTTTCTGTATGACCAAGAGCAACAGTCTCGTTCGAAAATATTTTGGTATTGTTTCATGAAGTATCGTAAAGATACACATAAACTTCTTACAGTTTTTAAGAAATAATATGAAATAAGTCAGATGATATTTAGAGATAGCATAGAAAGCACAAACTAAGGTATATATTCTTAAACAAATAACCACCGTCAAAATCATCTACCGGAAGAAAATTCACTGTCTGACCTGCTCAAAACAATAGATATTTTATTATATTTAGAAGAAAACATTTTTTTATCAAAAATTTCAAGGGAAATAAAATAATGACACTACGAAATACATATGATTGAATTTGCACCATCTCTGGAGCGCAGAGTTTGCCTATTAATTATTAATTCTAAATGTGGTCGGGAACCGTCTCGACCACTCTATTTTCCAGGTCCTATCGGAAATTGAGATGCAAATCGCCATGGACAAGGACCGTCTGTATGTTCCTTAGCTACTAAAATTATTCACGGTAAAATGTGGTCACTTTCCATCTTCCTTAATTGAAATGTGGAAGTGGGAGTGCACAACCTGCACGGAGGACGGTGAACGACTTCGACAACGACGGCGACTTTCTATTTAATTTGGTTGGAGATTAGACGCCGTTTCTACTTCGACGTATCGCAATTAGCTTCTATAAATTGGGCACGTCAACTATTTTTACGTGGCGCTAATGAAGAAAATAACCGTTTTTTAATAATTCTTCCTACATACTTAAAACTGTACTTTTCTAATCAAGCTAATTAAAGACCGATCTATTACACCAATTACAGAGAGTTCAATTATTATTATGAAAATGTTTTAGCGATTTCTAGAATTTTTTGCTAAAATTTATGAATACAGGGTGTCCCAGAAATAAGTGCAAATATTTTAACTGGGAGTATAGTTCAATCCCAGAAACACGCCTGTGAGGTTCTTTTCGCGAAAACACAATTTTGAAAATTTGGAATTTTTTGAAAATAATTTTGTATTTTTTTTAGTTTTTAGTTAAAAAATATAAATTCTTGATAATATGGCAACATAGGTAGTAGATTAAATTTATAAGAAAGAAACTCCAGAAATGATCCAGTGGTTCCCAAAATTTTAGCAAAAAATATTTTTTTGTAGATTTTCAAAGTAAAATAACTCCGTTATTTTGGCCTTATTTGAAAAACGGTAAAGAGAAAATATGTTTCTTTTATCGAGATCTACCACCCCTTAAAATACTTGCACTTATTTCATGGACATTCTGTATATAAATATACAGGGCGTCCCAGAAATAAGTGCCACTATTTTAAGGGGTGGTAGGTCTGGTCAAAAGAAGCACATTTTCTCGTTACCATTTTTTAATTAAATTGATAATAACCGAGTTATTTAACTTTTAAAATATAAAAAAATAATGGCAACATTTTGAGAACCTCCGGCAGATATAGCCAACTATCATGGAATTATTCGGATCTCAGGTAATTCGACGCCCTGTGTTGCCACATGGTCAAGAAAGTATATAAAAATAAATCAGAAGATCACACCACCTGAGGAGTTTGGCAGAGATGCATTACATTTTTAAGATGGTGTTGTTACCTGAGAAACTTACCTAATACATTACAAAAATTTCAAGTGAAACTTTTTGTTTTACTTGTATATATGCTGTTATAATAACTGCTAAAATAACAGTCTCGATTTCAAACACATTATTTTCATATAGGCTACATCATAATTTGAACCACTGATTTACAAAACATCTTGAAAAGCGCCCCCTACTTTCAATATATTTCTTATTGATTAAATGTTGAGAATTAGAATTATTTTTAATCTAAGAAAATACATGATTCACTCAACAATTTCAAATACATATTTTATTTGTTCGCTATCTATTCCATCGACAATGGCTGCAGCCCAAACGTTCGCCAAGAAAAAGGTTACTATATTAAAGAGGTTGCCTCGTAACTTTTAGGCCAATAGGAGCAAAGCGGCAACTATGTCACAGGTATGCTACAGAATGTATAAAATCATAGATAAAAGAATAAAAAATTAAAAGCAAAAGAGATAAATGGGCAATGTAATTAAAAAGAAACATCACACAATTGAAAACTATGCACGACACAATGAATATCGATTCGGAAATGCACTGTCGGACTATCGGCAGTTTTTATCCCTTTATCTATGAGCAGTAATGGCGGATCGAGTTACGAGACAATCTTATCTTTTAATAACCTTGCACCAAGAGCACCACGTGCCAACCAGAATTGCCAACACTGAAAGATGGATGGATACCCGCTATATTCGTATATTAGAAACTGCTAGAATCCGCTGAAAATTGCTGTGAATTTATAATTATAAAAATATGTAGAATGTGGATAACATAGTAGGTGGCAACATTGCAAGGTTTAGATACACCGTAAAGAAGTCTCATGTAAATAAACAAGTGGCACTAAAAAGCTTTTAAAATTTTCAACAATGTTTTTTTCGCAAAAAAATACATAGGCGTGTTTCTGGGGTCGTACCACTTAAAATGCTTGCTTTTATTTCTGAAACACCCTGTATAACGCGTCAAGACCATTCTATAAAAAAGAGTCCGTGATTTTTTACCGCCCCATCTGCGTCCGTTATTGGTTGCCTCAAAATCTGGTCACTTTAACAATAGCTATTTTCATTATCAAATCCATTCTGCGAACATACATGTAAGGACTTTGACCGTTATCAAACACTTAACAATAAAAAAAATCTATTGGTCCAAAAGCATCTCGGCACTGGCGCCACGTTCGCAATTAATTAAATAATCAAACACTCAGCCATTCGGATGTGTGTGTACAATTAACCGATAACGATTTCCTTAACAATTCACGAAAACGCGCATAACTTTTGACTATGAACTCTGGAGAGAACAATAAACAATATCGTCGGCCGAGACATTTTTCGGGGTCACCGTTTATCGGTAACCGAAATACTTTTCGACGAATAAAGTTACAACAAAGTCGAACTAGATGCGTGATTTACATGATTTCATTTGATTATTGTTTTATCAATAATTATTCCTTAGTGAATGCCATTATATAATATTTAAAAACGAGAAATAATTAAGCAGCGTCCATAAATTACGTGAATTTAGCCTCGTCGCTCCACTATGTTTTTACCCTGAGATTCAATCGCAACGATTTTAAAATCGCAATCGCAACCTGCGTTTGGCCCTCATAGGAAACTGCAATTGCGATGTCTTCTATTTGCGAGTTTCAATTTAGACAACCAGTAATACTACAGCTGCAATTTACGACTTTGTTGCGATTTGCGATATTGGTGCGAATGTAATTTTGTTGTCTATTGAACCATTTTATAGTTAACTGCGATTGAATTTTCCCTCTTATATTATTGATATTATTTATTTATAGAGAAGGTATTATTCATTATAAGGTGTTTCTCAAGAGTCACCTCCTATAACTCCTTTAATTTTTCTGATAAAAAAAAATGAGGTTTAGTATGTTAGTATTCGACATAAATTAGGATTGTTGACGTATTCAATTGTTTTCAGTCACTTCCTGTTTCACCGGAAGTAAATATAACTTTTGATTTTTAAATGACAAACTCGGTGTTTGAATGGCATATCATATGGTATATCATCAACTTTTGACATTTTCACTTAGAAAAAATCGTATTTTAAATTTCATCTAGAATGTCATGGCTGAG